GGCGGGTCTCGAACCCGCGGGCTCAGGCAATCCACTCACCTCGGCCTCCCAAGGCGCTGGCATTACAGGTTGAACCACCAAGCCCGGCTTTTTCTCGTTTTCATAGAAGTCAACGATTTGCCTGCTGTGGGAAAATATTTTTAGCCAGGGCTCTTTTCCTTTCGTAATTGAATGAACTTTATTGAGATAATGGCTACCTCTCTGTCTATCCCTCTATGTAAACAATAATTCAGCGGGTTTTGACAAATGTACACATTTGTATTTATCCATGTATACATTTGTATGTATCAATGTATACATTGTGTATACAACCTTGTAACCACCGCTAAAATCAAAATAGGGAACATATCCATCACCCCCAAAAGGTTTCTTTGTGTTCCATTCCAAATACCCAGGTAACCACTGATTGGTTTTCTGTCACATAGATTATATTTGTTTTGTAGAGTTTCATTTAAATGGAGTGAGACAATGGGTACTCTTTTGTGTCTTGTACCTGACTTTTTTTTTTGAGTCGGAGTCTCACTTTGTCTTCCAGACTGGAGTGCAGTGGCTCCATCACTGCTCACCGCAGCCTCCACTTCCTGGGCTCAGGCAATCCTCCTGTCTCAGCCTCCTGAGTAGCTGGGACTACAGGCTTGCACCACCACACCCAGCTTTTTATGTTTATTTTTTTACTTTAATTTATGGGGACCAGGTCTTGCTATATTGCCTAGGCTGGTCTCGAACTCCTAGGTTCAAGCAATCCCACTGCGTCCTCCCAAAATGCTGGATTACAGGCGTGAGCCACTGCGCCCAGCTGAATGTCTAGTTTCTTTCACTCAGCATAATGCTTTTGAGAGTCATTCAAGTTGTTTTGTGTATCAGTATTTTTTTTCTTTCTTTTTTATGAGTAAAATTTCATAGTATGAATATACCAAAATTTGATTATGCATTCTCTTACTGTAGTTTTGATTTGTATTTCTCTTATTGTGAATGAAATTGAGCATCTTTTCATATATATATATGTTTTTTTTTTAGGCCGGGCTCGGTGGCTCAGCCTGTAATCCCGCGCTTTGGGATGCCGAGGTGAGTGGATTGCCTGAGCCCGCAGGTTCGAGACCCGCCTGGGCAACTTGGCGAGACCTCATTTCTACAATAAAAATCAAAAAATCAGCCAGGCATGGTAGCGCGCGCCTGTAGTTCCAGCTACTTGGAAGGCTGAGGCGGAAGGATCGCCGGAGCCCAGCAGGTCGAGGCTCCGGTGGCTGGGAGCGGCCACTGCACTCCAGCCTGGGCGACTCCAGCCTGGGCGACAGACAAAAATTATTATATATAATTTTTTTTTTTTTTGAGTTGGAGTCTCACCCTGTCTCCCAGGCTGGAGTGCAGTGCTTGGGAGGCCAACTGCAGCCTCGACCTGCTGGGCTTGGGCGATCCTTCTGCCTCAGCCTTCCAAGCAGCTGGAACTACAGATGGATGCCACCATGCGGCTAATTTTTGTGTTTTATTGTAGAGATGAGGTCTCACCAAGTTGCCCAGGCTGGTCTCAAACCCACGGGCTCAGGCAATCCTCTTTCCTCAGCCTCCCAAAGAGCTGTGATTATGGGCTGAGCCACCGTGCCTGGCCTTTTCATATGTTTAAGGACTATTTTATTTATTATAATTTTTTTAGAGATTGAATCTCTGTCAAACAGGCTGGAATGCAGTGGCATGATCATGGCTCACTGCAGCCCCGACCTTCTGGGCTTAAGCTATTCTCCAGCCTCAGGGTCCTGAGTAGCTGGGACTACAGGCACAAGCCACTGTGCCTGGTTAATTAAAAAAAAATTTTTTTTTGTGGAGATGGGGTCTTGCTAAGTTGCCAAGCTGGTCTCCTGGGCTCAAGCAATGTTCCCACCTCAGCCTCCCAAAGCACTGTGATTATAGGTGGAACCACCACGCCCCGCATAGAAACATTTTGATATGGTTCTTTAGGCCAGGAACTCACACGTACAATCCCAGCACTCTGGGAAACTGAGATGGGAGGATTTCTTGAGCCCAGTAGTTCAAGACCAGCCTGGACAACATAGCGAGACCTTGTCTCTACAAAAAAATTAAAAATTAACCAGACATGGTAGTGTGCACCTGTAGCCCCAGCTACTCAGGAGGATGAGGCAGAAGGATCGCCTGAGCCCAAGGAGGTTGAGATGAGCTAGGATCGTGCCATTGCATTCTAGCCTGGGTGACAGAGTGACACTCTGATTCAAAATACATATGTGTGTGTGTGTGTGTGTGTGTGTGTGTGTGTGTGTGTGTGTGTGTGTAAACTTGTGAATTTTGTGTTCACATCTTTTGTCCATTCTTTTTATTTGTATTTTGGTCTTTTCCCCCTCAATGTTCAAGAGTTCTTTGTATACTAGGGAAATTAATTCTTTGCTATAAAATATATTGCATATATTTTCTCCTAGTTTGTCAGTTGTCTTTTGACCATGTTTATGATCCTCAGAGCTAGGAAATATATGTATGTATGCTAACACATGTTGACATACATATCTATAATTATTTCTGTATCTATCCATCTGTACTTTTTTTTTTAGTTGGAGTCTCACGTTGTCACCCAGGCCAGGCTGGAGTGCAGTGGCATGTTCACAGCCACCACAGCCTCGACCTGCTGGGCTCAGGTGATCCTTCTGCTTCAGCCTTCCTAGTAGGTGGAACTACAGTCATGCAGTGCGCTACCACGCCTGGCTTATTTTTTTAATTATTGTAGAGACAAGGTCTCACCAAGTTGCCCAGGCTGGTCTTGAACCCTTGGACCTCCCAAAGTGCTGGGATTATAGACATGAGCCACTGCACCCAAACTGTACGTATTTTAAGATAACCATGAATTCATACTGATACTCCAGTGCCACTTGCTTCGTTCTAGCCTTCCCTTCTTGCGTATCTGCAACCTTCCATTACAACAGTGAGGAACCTGGCTCCCACCACCCCACCATCCATTCACTGAATTGCCCAATCCCAATATACATGTATAGCAATATCAGAATCATTAACCCATACACACACAACTTTACCACAGAGTTCAATGTTTTTTCTCCTTAGCTTCAGAGTTTCCAGTTAAAACACCATTTTCCAAAGTGACTGAAATCAGCACCTCCACCCCCTCCTTTAGTGAGGTTATGTTGTACATTTGTAATAGATTATGCTGTCACACTCTCTATGTCATACTTGATCCTCTGGCCTTCTGGCTGATTTTTGTTTGTTTGTTTTTGAGTTGGCGTCTTACTCCATTGCCCAGGCTGGAATGTGGAGTGCAGTGTGGCACGCTCACAGCCACCCCAGCGTCAACCTGCTGGGCTCTAGCGATCCTTCCGCCCCAGCCTTCCAAGTAGCCGGAACTACAGGCATGTGCTACCACGCCCGGCTATTTTTTGATGTATTGTAGAGATGAGGTCTCACCAAGTTGCCCGGGCTGGTCTTGAACCCACGGGCACAGGCAATCCACTCGCCTCCACCTCCCAAAGTGCTGGGATTACAGGTTGAGCCACCGCGTCCGGCCCAAACAAACATTAAATAATGTCTTTGAAATAGATGATAGGATTGTATTAATATCAATTTCCAGACTTTAATAATAATACTAGCTGAGCATGGTGGCTCACACCTGCAATCCCAGCACTTTGAGAGGTGGAGGAGAGATGATTGCCTGAGCTCAAGGGTTTAAGACCAGCCTGGGCAACTTGGTAAGACCTTGTCTCTATAATAAATCAAGAAAAATTAGCCGGGTGTGGTGGCGCATGCCCTGTGGTTCCAGCTCCTTGGAAGGCTGAGGCAGAAGGATCACCTGAACCCAGCAGGTCGAGGCTGTGGTGCCTGTGAGCATGCCACTGCACTCCAGCCTGGGCGACAGAGTGAAACTTGGACTCAAATAATAATAATAATAATAGTAATAATAATAATATGGTTATATAAGACGATGTCTTTTGCTCATATGCCTTTGTACAGAAAAGACTGAGATTGGTATCCTTAGAAAGATCTGATTGCTAGGTTGGCCCTTGACAGGCATCTGGAAACTTGACTGGTAAACAGTTCCCTATACTGATATAAAACTTTTCCTAAATGATAAAAGTGATCTACTGAGCCTAAACTGTTTGTTGAAGCAATTTGATTTACGCTGAACACATG